CTTTTACCTTGCGAGAACAACGTTTTCTCCTTCTCAGTTGTTCGAAGGCGTAATTTAGAGAACACGAAGGATCCCCCCACCCCACCACCATCGTAATTAAGTAGCGAATAGCTGTTTTAAGATAGTGTGTTAAACTAGGATAGAGAGATTCAAGACTTACTACTACATACATACACTTTCACGTTTCCTTCCAACCTTCCAACCTTCCTCCACCCATCATCTTCCTCTCTCTCTCTCTCTCTCTCTCTCTCTCTTTCTCTTTCCCATTTTCTTCAAGCTGATCGTAAAGTCCAAGAATGATATGAAGTTTCAGATCTATATGCACACTTACATACATACACACACATATCTATCTATCCTACGTGTATCTATGAACAGGATGAAGATGTCCATACATTCTTTTACGTGTAACTATATATACATATGTATTTCTGAGTGTGTGTGTGTGTGTAGATGTAAGTGTAGAAGAGATCGCTCGGACTCGTACGCTTCGATTCGCTGTAGCACTCGGGCACGTCCGAGAAACAAATTTCAAGTTTCGAATCTACTTCCTCCCCTTTTCCTGCCATCTACGGCCCTTTTTCCCCCAAGCCCACCACCCTCCTCCTATCCTCCCTCGTGCACCCTTCTTTCCCGTTGGAAAATTCAAAGTCCATGATAAAACGTCACGACTCGTGATTAGAATGCCTCGCGTTACGATGGATAGAGAAAAGAAGAAAAGAAAGAAGAAGGAGAGTGAGAGAGAGAGAGAGAGAGAAAGAGAGAAATACGGTGATGGGTTGGAAAAGGGGTTGAACTTGTAACATACGTCTCGTACCCGTTCGAATGCGGAATATCAAATTACGACATTCTGGATTACAACGTAAAAGGAGGATTTGCATTCAACGATTTTTCTCTGTGTGTGTGTTGTATTTTGTTTTTTTTTTCTTTTTGTTTGTTTCATTTTATTCCACTCGTGTATTCCTTCTTTTTTTTTATTCCTTGTCCCTCTTTTTTTTCTTTTTATTTCCTTATTAATTTTGCATCGTCGTCAACCTTTATCGTAAACGTTAATCAATCGTTACGTTGCAATGTTTGTTATTCGTCGCGTTGGTGGTTTTTTTTTTAAGACGAATATTAACGTTTAAATGAAATAGAAAAAAAAAAGAAAAAAATAAGAGGAAACGAAACATAGAGAAAGAGAAAGAATTAAAACAATTGATCAATGTTTTTTCGATTAGAAAGATCGGGGATCAAACGGTTTTTCAAGTTTACATTTAGACCAATTTCAATGTTCGACTATCGTAAATACACCCTTGCAAATTATAGCTTTGAGTAACATCAGTCTATGGTAAATTTGACAAATTAAAGGCGTTTAAAACATTGATGGAACCGGTCTAATTAGACATTTGGACGATCTCACAGTATATGTGTGAGTAGTATGCGTGTGTATTTAAGGTATATTGGCAGAAAAATTTAGTCGAATTTGCATCTTGATAAATGGTAATCAACCAACTACTACAAGTTTTCAGAATTACACATACAATATTATTTTTTTTTTGTCATATTTCTTCTGAACATACTTCAATCAAAATTGAAATATTTTTTTATTATTCATAGCATTTAATTAAACAACGTTTGAACTTTCTTCTCTGTCCTTTCCTGTTATGTTTTTTACGTTTAAATTAAAAAAAAAATTCTCTTTATAAATTAGTGTGTGTAGATTATTTTGAGATATGATAATTATCTTAAATAAGACAAATTAGTAAAAGCGATTGCAAAAGTTTTTCGCGTGCGTTTCTGGAAAGATAAAAAAAAAAAAAAAATAGGAGCAAAGAAAAATTAGAAAAATAAAATAAAATAAAATAAAAGGGTTGGTAAAGAAGGGAAGGAAGTAAAAAAGAAAAAAAAACAAGCAAAAAAGTTGAAGAAGAAAGATGGAATGCAGATTATAATCGTACTTTTCAGTGAGACTCCCAACGGATCGTCGCTCATTTCTTTCAAAGGGGGAAAGCTTACTTTAAAAGGCAAAACTTTTTTCTTTTTTTTTTTTTCTATTTTTTTTTTCTATTTTTTTTCAATAGCGTACCTCACTTCTCTCTCTTTACTTCTCCTATCTTTATCTTTATCTGTTCCTACGCAATCCGTTGATCCTTTGATTTTTTCTCTTTTCTTCCTTTTACGAGCTAATAATTTATCGGTTAACGTGACAAAGAGAAAAAGGAAAAGGACTCCTCCTATTACTTTGAAGTCAAAGCTCTAACCCCCTCCCTTCCTCCCTTTGCGCTCTTATTTCTTTTAATTTTATAGTATATTTTTTTTTCTTGTTTTGTATTTTTTTTTTTTTTACTTAGTATTTTTTTCCCCCTTTCCATCATCACATTTTATTAAAAGGATATCACCTCGAATCATTGCATCTTCTTATCTTCCCTTTTTCGATTCATTTTTATAAATACATTTTTTCCTTTCATCCAACACAACAATCACCACCACCAACGGCGTTTTACATTCGGTACTTAGATCTAATTAAAAATAATGCAAATAGTATGCACATTTAAAATGAAACTTGATTAAAAAAGATTTAATGTAACAAAGCAACCCTTTTAAATTGCATGTTTACGTTACCATATTTAAAATACTTCTCTTATAACTTTAAAAAAAAAAATAAATAAATAAAAAAAAAGATTAAATTCAACTTAATTATATATGAAATTTTTATTTCAAATAAAAATTATTTATATGAATAATTAATCAAAGTTTCATTCATTCTCATCTTAATAATAAGTTTTCCTTATTATTATGATAGCTGTTTAGAAAAAATATCAAAACAAATGTTCAACCCTTTGTACATAACGTAACAAAATATTATACCATGTATTAGTGCAACCATCAAACTAAGTAATAGTGGTGGTAACGTTAATATGTTATGAATAAGTGATCAATTAGACTTTTAGTCAGACAAAAGCAGAAATTACACAACCGAGTATATTACAATAACCGACAGACGAGTGCAAGTAAGTAAACAAGTAAATAAGTAAGCAACCAACCAACCAACCAAACAGGGACATGGACAGGTTGATGTTAGAGGTACTCGTTCAAGAGGGACTGTGAACAAATTTACGGTACGTTTTGGAATCTCGAAACTCTTCTCTCGTACACTTAACACTTGCCAGAGACAGTTGTTACCACCACCATCTATCCCTGACCTTCTTTCTTTCTGTATTTCTTTCTTTCTCTCTTTCTCTTTTCCACTATTTCACCATCTTTCTTCTCTCTCTTTCTCATTCTACAACTACCAGCACCATTTCCTTCAGTTCACCGTTGGCATCTTCCCGGTACTTTCAAGCTCGAGGAAACTCGGCCGATTACATCGAGCTCTTTCCCTGGAGCCAATCCCAGCCTCTTCGGTAGCAACCCACCCCCTCCCTCTCTGCCCTTTACTTCATCCCTATTCCCATGCACTCTTCTTCCTCGACTCTTTACTTGCACACACACACACACACACACACACACACACATCCACCCACATATATACAGTGAAAAATCAGATACAATTGAAGTAACTTATACAAAGAAGAAACTCAAGGAAATCAACCCTTGGCCTCATGGCAACAACAACGCGTTCGAGTTTACGTCCTTTTCTTTCCTTCTCATCCTCCTTTTACTATTACCTTTCCGTTCCTATTTCGTGTTTACTCGCGTGTTCGAACTCCGTCAGCGTTCGTGTGCCACGTCAAATAACCCCCAAACAAATCGATCTTCCTCCACTTCCGCGACCAACGACTCAAACATATACCTTAACCAAGATTTATTTCCAAAAAAAAAAAAGAAAAGAAATAAACAACACACGTTATAACACCTTTTAACGATTATTTCGAATGTGATACTGTTTTTTATTTTTCTCCTTTGTAAGATGATATTCAAATGTATTATATATGTATATATTATACATGCATTGAAAATCTATATATATATATATACATTTGTACATTATTAAGATTAGTTTTGCCTCGTGAAAAAGTGTGTGTCGTTACCTTTGAATACTTTGATGTTGAGCAACCGTAACGTTTACCTATGCAAAGTAGACAAATTAGCCTGGTATGTGCTTAACAGGATAATTACGAATGGTAATAGTTAAGAGCTTGGGTACTGAAGGCAAAAGAGGAATAGTGGAACGAGGAGACAAGAGAGAAACGGGGGAAGAAGGGTTTAGTAGAAAGAACTGGATTAAATTAGATAATTACATTAGGCTACGGCACTTTACACGTCAAGCTCTTTTATAATTATTTAGCAAAAAAAAAAAAATATTCTGTGGCAATTGTAATGAACGAAGAAGAAGACGTTGTAATGTTCAAACGATGAATATTATCTTCCCTTTCCCCCCTTGCTTTTGTTTCATCTTGATTCAATAAATTGTACGGATAATAGTTCGAAAGGCGTGATAATCGAATATTCCTAAGTGTCGGACACGTTAACTAATTTTGACGATCCTAATCCCGTCGTTTTGAGTTCTAAAATGTAAATTCAGTTCCCTGTATGTATATATATGTATATATGTATACAGAGAAAGAGAGAGTGAGAAATATCTATATATACATATATATGCATATCTGGAATCAAGGTATTTCATCGGTCAGTTCTCTGTTCTAAACCATTTCTGTTAGGTATATGAAATGAAATCGAATTTAACTTTGGAAGCCGTTGTGATCCCGTAACGGTGTCCGCTTATGAATTCTATTATTATCGATTTTAAACGGGACTTTTAATAAAAAAAAAAAAAAAAAAAGAAGAAAAAAAAAGATTCGTTCAGCCTAACGAATCTTCCGATCGATCGATCAAAATTTAATAAGTGTCGCTAAACGAAAGTTAAAATTCATTAACGTTTACCGCAAAAAGAATTTCTTTTTATTAGATCTATAAAAGTCAATTAGTAACACGACAAATGGTAAAACCAATTTTAATAGATTTAAATGGAATATTAATTAACGTTAATTATTATAACTATAAAAAATGTAACTTACATGTCCAATGATCGGCCACGTTGAACGCCTACGCTTATGTACCAACCACGTTCTTACCCACCAATCAGATAACAGCCAAGAGATTCTTCTTCACAAATACAAAAAATATCGTCATTTAAAATAATAGTTAATCAAAGTATTTATCACTCGTTTGACAACTGTATGCAATTCGATTGTTCCTAAGCGAGCTAATGTCAAGTCGAGCTTTTCTCACAGTTCACTTTACTACAACAGTAGTAGTAGGTCGTCCACTGAATTTTCAGGATCGAAATCCACTGATCCCTAAAGAACAATATCACAACAAACTACAGTTCAATTTTCACTGATTCTTCATCATATCGACAACCCCCCTCCCCTATTTTTATTAAGACAATTTTCACTAACGCTATGATTGAGTTATTGGCACTGACAAATCGTTCATTTAATCTCACACAATTATTTCAGAGATATATATAACATTGAACTAGGAAATGATAGAAAAGGAAGTAAGAATAAGAGAAAGGAAGATGATAGGTAGCATGTAGGTAAAACGGAGAGAAAGAGAAGCAAACAGGAGGCAAGCAAAGCAAGCAAGCAGGAAGGAAGGAAGGAAGGCAGGCAGGCTGGCAGGAAGGAAGGAAGGAAAATTCGGGGGAGAGAAGGGTAGTAGTAGTAGTAGTCTAAAGCGAGGAGTCGGCTCGAAGAGGGGTGGTCGAACGAAAGGGGAGAACGCTTTAGGGGGGAAGGGAAGAAGGATGGTTCAAGGGGTGGCTCGCGAGCTGGATGGTTGAGATATATCTCAACGTGTATTCTCGTTGCTTTGATCCTTTGTCCTATGTATTCTTCTATTTAACTGTGTCTCTTATGTATACATACAACTCTTATGTTTTTTCTTCTTATTTTCCTCTCTCTTTCTTTCTCTCAAACACTATTTTTGTCTTACTTTTTCTCTCTCTCTCTTTCTTTTTCTAATCTTGTTTCTATCACATAAGTTCTCCTTAAATCGAAGAGGAACAATTTCAACGTCAACTCAAACTAAAGTAAATGCGTCGGGACTACTATCGTGTGGCGTGGCAGGTGAACACGGCTCACTTCTTGACGCAACTACAGCTGCCGATGTGGTACTGGCTCCTCTCTTTCTGGATCCGTTTCTCTACCACTGCCACTGCCTCTCTCTCTCTCTCTCTCTCTCTCCCTCTTTCTCTTTCTCTCTGCACTTGCTCTTCTTGCTCTTACTCTTGCTCTTGCTCTTGCTCCACTCCGTTATGCCTGCGCAGCACCCGACCCGGCCAAACCCAGACCCGGCGTGTAGGTACCGCGGGCTCGCACTCGAGCTCCAGCTACCCTAGCTGCTTCATCCCCACCAATCCTTATTCACTCTCTTTCTCTTTCTCACCCTCTCTCTCTCTCTCTCTCTCTCTTTCTCTGTTCCGGCGACGCGCAGTGCCGAACTCACCACTATTCGCACCCCTTCTCACCTATCTCCCCACCACTTTCCATTTCTATCTCCTTTATATATAAATATATATATATATGTATCTTTCTTTATCTTTTTTTTCTTTCTTTATTTCTTTCTATCTTCCTCTCTCTCGTCTTATTTCTTATTTGATTTTATTACCTTACACCACGTCATGTCTTTTGTATCTTTCTCCTACGTTAGAATTTTCTTTTCTTCTTCTTTTAGGTTTACCTTTTTCTTATTTTTTTTGGTTTTTTTATTCTTTGCCTCCAACTCTCTTTATCTATCTATCTATCTCTGTCTTTTGTAGCTTTTTTCCTTTTCCTTCCACGTAAACCCCCAGAATTTGTTCTATCTATTAAGTCTTGTTTCTTTCTTTTCTTTTTTTCCTCTCATTCTCCGAGGGATTTAATTTTCATCGTAAATAGCTTTCATTGTTAATACAACTTGTTCACTCATACCACCCGAATCATTTATATTCAATATTCCCTCTATTATTCGTATGATACATTTCTACGATTGTATATAATACTATAATACATATATATATATATATATATATATATATATATATATATATATNTTTTATATTAATATTCAAATATAATTAATAATATAATTTAATAATATATAATCTAGATAATTCGTTCATGAGATAATACAAGAAATATGTCGTTTATTATCGGTGCAACTTTTTTATTATCGACAATCACGTCGTTTAAATTAATTAACCTTCAATTAACATAACTAAAAAAAAAAAAAAAAGAACCAAACCAAACCAATATAACGCAACTTGTTATACAATTGTGTGTGTGGTCACACAAACATACACAAACACAACCTATCATGGGATTTATAGACCCTTTATAAAAAATCAACAGATAATCATTGACAACCTTAACAATGTTTTTTATTTTCTCCGATATAAAATTTGATTCATATACATTTTTAACGAAGAAAATTCTCTTTCTAAACGAGAAAAAAGAAACGAAACGAACTAAAAAAAAAAAAAAAAATAAATAAAAAAGAGTAAAAAAGAAAAAAAAAAGGAAGAATAAACACAACCGATTTCGAGTGATTGAAAATCTCTCGAGAAGAGATCACGTACTTTTCCAACCCCCTCTCTCTCACTCTCACTCTCACTCTCTCTCTCTCTTTCTGTCGTACCTAACGCTCGTCAGGATCGCTCTAAAGGATTCAGGACGTTTTTATCGAATCAGGAAGAATCGACTTCGTCGCAGCGAGATTTTCGATCCGGATGAATCCTCCTCTCGCATGTATATTTTTCCTCTGATTTTTCGAATCTTCCTACACGATGAATAGATAAAATTACGTGACCTCATTTTTCCCTTGAAAATTCGAACGTCCCACCCTTCCCCCTTCCCCCTTCCCCCTTCTCCTTCTCCACCTTCCCTCCCCCCGTCTCTCTCTCTCTGTTAACCTCTTCTCTTCAAACCCACCCCCTTCTCCTATCTTCTCCAGCTACACCACCAACTACCACCAACATGAGTTTCACACACTCGACTAAACACACAAGTGAGCTGCGTCCGAGAAAATTCCGAGCATAATCGTACACCTTCCTTCTCCCTCCCCCCATCCCATCTCCATCCCTTAACGCTATTTCCTATTTTTAGATAAACTTCATTTGCATAATAACCAACCAACCAGCCCGGTAGCCGTGAAAAAGAACGTGCGAGCTTTTGCACGATTGCACGAACTTCAGATGGTCGAATGGTCGGTCTTCTTCTACAAAGGAGAAGAACGAATCTGACTGTTTTACAATTGAATACGAGGGAAATAAAAAAATATTGATAATTAGAAAAATATGAATAGGAAGAAGAGGGATATGATAATAAGGGTTGAAGAATGAAATGAACGAAAAATAGAAAGTAACGAGACGAGATAAAGAACGTTGATAATATTGTTAACTTATTTTTTGTTTTTATTACAGGTAACTATCAGTAAAGTATTTCATTTTTTCTTTTTTTTATACCTAATCCCTTACTTACGTTTGTATTCTGTGTTTGGTCGTGATTTATATTATTTTTGTTTTTGATATTTATTTTACAAACGTAAAACATTCCCTATTTTAATGATGATTCTTTTTTATTTCACGTTATAATAATAATAATAATAATCATCATCATCATCATAATAATAATGTATGTTATAATACAATAATGGTAATAATAATATAATGTAAAGGAAAAGATTTAATTAGAATTTAAATTATTATTATTATTATTATTATTATTGTTAATTTGTATTATTTAAATAATATAAATACATTTGCAATGATAATAATGAAATATGGATGAAAAAAAAAAGAAACATATATATGAAGTTGAAAATATAAATTAATTGAAAGTTCATACACACACACACATATACATGGTTTTCTACTTAATCGTTATCATTGTCCCCCGTATTTTATTTAAAGCTTTTCGGATTAGAAAAAGACAAAAAAAAAGAAGAGAGAGAGAGAGAGAGAGAGAGAGAGAAAAGTTTTTATAACGTTGCAGATAACGATATCACGAAACAACACGACATATGATTCGGAAAGAAATCGGATGAGAGGATTTTTGTCTATTGCTCGATTATACGTTACGTTATGGAACAAAAAAGAAAAAAGAATATTTGATCAAAGAGAATAATACACAAACTCTACCTAAAATCAACAATTTCTAAAGATAAAATAAACATTGTTTTCTATTCGAACAAAAATTTTCAATATACCTTCATCTATATATATATATATATGAAAAAGAAAAATAATCAGAAATAACTATACAAGTAGATGAAAGAAAGAAAAAAAAAAGGATGTTATTTAACGATACACCCTGTAGAATTATTTCAAATAATTTAATTAAAAAATATGACTTTTTTTATCTAAAATATGGATATCCTTTATAAATAATTTTTATCCTTTCAAAATATTTTAATAAAAAAAATGTAATTTGATCAAAGAACCAAACATTCTCTCTATGATAATCAATCAATACACGTATATGATTTATTTCTCAAGAATAATCAACCAAACAATCATTGGTTACCAAACACCCTTTGTAAACCATCATCGATATTATTTACAAATATATATTTCACATCTAACTCCCCTCCACCCACCCACCCAACCTTTTCCTTTTCCTTCAACTCCATTCACGTAACACCACCACAATCATACTCAACAACACAATCACTTCATCCTAGTCGTCCTACACGCATATACACACACGCATGTACGCATGCATGCACATACGTACTTTTGAACTAACCTATATGCATGTGAAATCGAATCCTATAGTGCAATAGACAGGTCCGACAGGAGAGAACCAAGAGAGCGTAACAATGAGAGAGAGAGAGAGAGAGAGAGAGAGAGAGAGGAAGAGAGAGGAGAAGTTGTTCATCGAGAAGCTTACACAATTTCTCTTGTTCTAACTCTAGCATGCACGCATGCGAAGTGTACACTCGCGTTCTATGCCAGGTGGGTTCTGTGATGGTGGTAGTAGACGCGCGAATGCTGCGGTTCGCTTCAGGATTTGCGGCTAAACACGTGTTTCCGCCGTATTCCCTTGTTGCGCATTTACCGCGAGCATTAACGCCCCCGCGGGGTTAACTGACCCTTCTGTTACATCTAACCACCCTCCTCCCGCGATCCCAACACCCTTTACCCCAAAAACCACCACCCCAAACCCAGTCCATTGGAGTTTCCATCTATCCCCCTCCTGCCCCTTTTCTAATCATCTCCCCCTACACCTCCCCCCCCTTCAACCCTCTCATGGCTCGTTCATTCGTTTTCACTCGCCACGCAATTGGATAATTTATTTGACGAGGGCTGGAAGACCGTTAAAGTACCGATTAACTGCAACTACGAGTTTCCTTAGGTTAGCTTAAAATTGAATGAAAATAAAAAGGGGAATTGTGAGACGGTGAACGAACGAATGAACGAGAACAATCTGTTTTATCGACGGAGATCAACCCTAACGACATTTTACGAATGCCTTTTGGTGTTGAGGGGCGGGGGGGGGGTGGAAGTGGGAGTGGGGCTGGGGGACAGGGTGGGTTCTCGCTTTTTGTTAACAGACTCTAACGAATCGATTCTCTTGGCTAGTTGTTTGTTATCGTGGGAAAACGGAAACACGGGGGAGGGTTCTTTCGATAATGAAAACTGTGAGAGAGGGTTGATCAGGTTGATGATTGGAAAAAAAGTATGCTCGGTAAAATCGATAAAATGCTAGGAGATTGTGAACAAACTTTAAACGGGGAGATTGATCTTTGTTGGTTTTTGCACTTCTTTTTTTTTTTTTTTTTTTTTTTTTTTTTTTTTATTTCTTCGCTTCCTTCTTTGCTTGCTTACTTCTTTTTCGTTTTCTTATACTTCATCGTCTACTCCGATGTTTACCGTTTCTTCTAGGCGTATAGTTTTTAATTTTATGGTTGGTTGGTTTTTTTTTGTTTTTTTTCTTTTTTTTTTTGTAAGTGTCTTTTTTCATCCCTCGAATTATTCCCTTTTTCTCGAAAATCATTTTCATACGATTTTTCATCGATGAATTATTCATGCAATTACAACGCAAAACGTAAGATATTTTCCATGTAAATGATTTAATCAATTTTCTGACATATATATATGTTCGTGTTGTTCAATTAACGTGTAAGAGATGAAATAAAAAAAAAAAGGTAAAATAATAAATGTTAAAAGACATATTAATAAGAAACGTATTGATTTATAATAAATTCACTTGGCAATAATATAGAAAAAAGTTCGATGCTACGTTTTGAAGTTTGCGAGAAGAAGAAGAAGAAGAAGAAGAAGA